AATTGAATTGAATTGAATTGAATTGTTGATCTGCTGGAATTGCAACTTCCCTCTTCTTCATGTTTTGCTGAATGAACAGATTAAAATCGTCGTAGGTGTTAATGTGAAATTTACGGGAGGCGCAGTGGTGGCAATTGCTCCACCCCTTCCACAAAAAACATTAAACTATGTGACTGAAAGTTAGAACTGGTGGCAATTCTAACACCTATTCTTTATCTTTGTAAACATGTAGCTAAATGTATCTGATTTGGAATGGAACTCGTTCAAGTGCTCTGCTGGGAGGAGCCAGAGACGCTGAACATGTGGACAGTGCAGACTGAGCCACTAATGAAGCCGTTAATGCCTTATAGAGTTGAACAGCTGTAACAGGAGTCTAGCTTGCTGGGAAAAAATCTGTTTTTAAATGTTATTTTGAGACAAAAGCAACACATTCTTTTTTTTAAGTTTCTATCCGCTGATTCACTGCATAGTTTTTTTTTCTAGCTTTTTTATGCCGCTATCTTGATATTAAAGGTATGACCTTTTAAGTTGGACATAGAGATTTAGTCTTGTATAACTCTCTTATGGTGTTACAGAGAAGCTTGCCAAGTAGTCAGACTAAAAGTGAACACATTACACTGAATTTGCCCTCTGTGATTTCTCTGGGTTTGCTCTAAGGTTAAATTCTGTTTATGGCAAGGGCATTATGCAGTTAGCTATAAAGTTTGCCGTTTCCACTTTTCAGGGACAGGTGATTGAAGTGATTCATATTCATTTTGTTAAATAAGCTTACTTGTGCTGCTTTATATACACCGTTGGTTGTTCATATCGGTGGTAAGTGCAAAATGAGATCAACGCTCAAAAAGATAAAATTATCTATTTGTTTTTGCCCTCAGTTTACTGGTGGATAATCTACAATAACCCTTTTGTATGAAAAGGTTTACACGAGGGCTGTCTGCCACAAACAGATCTGATGTCTGCAGGGAGCTAAAGTCTGAATGAACTGCGTATATGAAGGGTTCGCTGCTGCTCCACTGACGCAGGCAGTGAGTGACGCATCCCACTCTGCCGCAGCGCTGACCTCCGTGCACGATAAAAGCATCGCTTTGCTGACCGGGAACGGACCAGACGAAAGTGTGAGACTCGTGTCAGCATTCAACAGCAATAACGGAAAAAGCCCTCTGCTGCAACTTGTTGCAATATGTGATCCTTTTCTCTTTTTGTGCACACAAGACAACAGAAATAGAAACAAACAACCTGCAGCAGATGTTGTGGACTTCTGCTGCACATCAGCCACTGAGCAAATAAATGAATGCCCTGCCTGGACTGCTATCTGTGGTCTGTCTGAGTGAGAAAAATGCTTATTAAGTGCAGAAAGAGAGATGTTAGGTCGGAGAAATGGGAGGACAGCAAGCGGAAAACATCACTGAGTTGGCATTGATGAAGACAAGGGAGTAAAAGAGGAGAAAGAGATGGTGGAAGGGGATTATTGATTCAACAATCTGAGATAAAACATGAGCAGAGACACAATTTTTTTTGTTTTCTGGCTTTCCATGTAGAGCACGATGGGAAAAAAGAGCAGGAAGAATGTAAAGGCCATTTCATTATTTTCCCTGTCTGACACTTCTCCTTTAACCCCCAGCCCCCATTTGCTGCAGTTTTAAGCCGTGCAACATAGTGTGGAGGCAGCCTCGATTACAGAGGCTCGCTGCCACGCCGGATCCCGTGTGCTCTGCACTGCAGCTTTCTGTCAGGCGGGAGATGAATTTACATAGAAATAGAAAATTAGTGAGAAGCGTGAAGGAGGGAGCGGATAACAAGAGCAAATTCAAACCTGCAGACGGCGTCACATTTTTGCTTCTCACTGCTTCAACTTGAATATTAACAAATTATCTTTCGCCTGTTTGTTTGTGAGACGTTTCTTTGGGATTAACAGGTTTTTTTTTCTTTTGTCGGTTCGTCATTCCTCTCAGACAGAATGGAAATTTGTAGCTAGTTTCTATTGATTAGCAAGCTGTTACGGCGAGGCACAACACAGCGATGCTCCTTCAACATGTCTCTTAGCGTCCTGCTGCTAACGGAGGCTTCGCTACAATCTGCCGTCCTGCGTAGATTCAGAAGAAGAGCAAAGTGCTAACAAAGTGTGAACACTGCTGAGGCAGAGCGAGTTTAAGGATTCCTTCTTTACACAATAGAGCTTTAATACTATAAAGCACTGAAAGAGAATGGGGGTGAAATCATTCATGAAATATTTTCCTTTATTGATTTGAATAATATTACAGTGAAGTCACAATAAATGTACTTTGCTAACATAGAGTTTTATGTGCTTTATGTTGTTGTTGCATCATCCACCCAGTCACATCCACTCACACCCACATCACTGGTGACCGAGCTGCAATATAAGGTGCTGGCCTGCCATTCGGAGCGTCAGCGTCTTCCCTGTGGACACAACATGTGGCGCGTCTGGGGACAGAACTGCCACATTTAGTAGAAAACCTGCTCTACCACCTGAGCCACAGCAGCCCGTGATACAAAATAATCAACCTGATCTGTAGTGCAGCGCACCCAACTGTTCTACATTTAATATCTCACGCACCTCATTCATTTGGAGAGAAGTTAAGTGCTTTGGTTATGTCACAACGGATAATCTACAAACTCTCAGAGGTCACACAAATGTGTGCAATTTTCAGTATTTGTTATTTTTTAATGACTGAAAGCGTTTTGAAATTATAATGTGTCCAGATGTGCGTGTGATGGGAAATGATGAAGGTTTGAAAATCATTAGAAAGGCTAAACATGCAGGGA